GCTCTTCCACTGCAGGGGGCACGGGTTTGATCCCTGGTCGGGGAACTAATCCCGCATGCCGCATGGCGCAGCCAAAAAAAAACAAACAAACACAAATACTGAGCTGGTTCCATATCAAGGATACATGACAATAAAATGCAATGTGTGGGGACTTTCCTGGTGGCGCAGTGGTTAAGAATCCACCTGCCAATACAGGGGACACGGGTTCGAGCCCTGGAACGGAAAGATCCCACATGCCATGAGCAGCTAAGCCCATGCACCACAACTACTGAGCCCACGCTCTAGAGCTCGCGAGCCACAACTACTGAGCCCGCATGCTGCAACTACTAAAACCTGCGTGCCTAGAGCCCGTGCTCCGTGACAAAAGAAGCCACCACAACGAGAAGCCTGCGCACTGCAACAAAGAGGAGCTTCTGCTGGCCACAAATAGAGAACGCCCACGTGCAGCAATGAAGACCCAACGCAGCCAAAAATAAATAAATTAATTAATTTAAAAAAATACAACGTGTGATTCTGGATTTTATCCTAGACTAAAGAAAAAATACACAGCTACGCAGAACACTGTTGAGACACGAAATTTGAATAAGGATTGCGAATGAGACAATAGCTTTGTGTAAATATTAGGGTTCCTGAGATGTTTACTACACTGTGGTTATGTAAAAGAATTTTCGTACATTTAGGAAAAACACTCTAAAGTCTCCAATTTACTCTCCAATGGTTCAGGAAAAAAATATATATAATAAAGAATATATATATTATATATATAAAAAATGACAAAATGTTAATTGTTGAATCTGGGTAAAGGGCATACTGGAGTTCCTTGAATATTCTTGGCATTTCCTGTAAGTTTGAATGAGGCCATATCTTTCAGAAATACATTATGAAATATTTACAAATGAAAAAGTAAGATTTCTCTGATGAGCTTCAAAATAATGGGACAAGTAGGGGTCTAGATGAAATAATTGGTCATGCAGTAATAACTGTTAAAGTAGAATAATGGAAACATCAGGTGTATTATACTATTCTCTGTACTTTTCTACGTTTGAAATTTTCTGCAATAAAAAGTTTTAAAGAAGTCCACAATGAGGGACATCCCTGGTGGCACAGTGGTTGAGAATCCGCCTGCCAATGCAGGGGACATGAGTTCGAGCCCTTGTCCAAAATATCCCACATACCGCGGAGCAACTAAGCCCATGCGCCACAACTACTGAGCCTGCGCTCTAGAGCCCAAGAGACACAAATACTGAGCCCGCGAGCCACAACTACTGAGGCTGTGTGCCACAACTATTGAAGCCCACACACATAGAGCCCACGCTTCGCCACGAGAAGCCACCTCAATGAGAAGCCCACGCTCCTCAACGAAGAGTAGCCCCCGCTCACTGCAACTAGAGAAAGCCCGCACACAGCAACGAAGACCCAATGCAGCCAAAAAAAAAAAGATAAAATAAATTTATTTAAAAAAAAAAAGAGGCACCCACATCCAGGACTCTAGTTTTGAAATGTTTCTAATATATGACACTCTCTCCATTAATCCCCCTTAAAACCTCTTTATAAAGCATGAACCATTCAGGCAATTTTACTTGTCCCATGTGAAGTTTTAGTCAATACAAAAACAGAAATACAGTTGATACCTCTAACTCTACTGTATATGGGCATATAGTTACTGTTGAGAGTAAAATCAATAAATAATGGAAGAAAACAGGTAAACGTAGATAGAAGTAATCCACCCAAAGAGATGATCTACAAACCACAGAGAGAGAAAAACCAACTGACATTTGTTAAGCACCCATTATAAGCCATTCCTTAGGTCATTTAAGCTTCACATCAATGCTGGCATAATTTTTCCCTTAATTTTGTTTTTAATTTTTTTCCTTAAAGTATACAATTTTAGATTTTTTTAAAAAAAAAATTTTTGGCCATGCTTCGTGGCCTGTGGGTTCTTAGTTCCCTGACCAGGGATCGAACCTGTGCCCTTGGTAGTGAACGCACAGAGTCCTAACCACTGGACCACCAGGGAATTCCTGCCCTTAATTTTTTTTAACTGTGGTAAAATACATGTGATTCAAAATGGGGACTTCCCTGGTGGTCCAGGAGGTAAGACTCAACGCTCCCAATGCAGGGAGCCCGGGTTCGATCCCTGGTCAGGAAACTAGATCCTGCATGCATGCTGCAACTAAGAAGTCCATATGCTGCAACTAAGAAGTCCGCACGTCCTGCACGTCGCAACTAAAAAAGATACCGCATGCCGCAACAAAGATCCCACGTGCCACAACTAAGACCCAGCACAGCCAAAATGAATAAATGAATAAATAATAAATAAATGAATATTCACTTTAAAAAAGTGATTTTGGGCTTCCCTGGTGGCGCAGTGGTTGCAAGTCTGCCTGCCGATGCAGGGGACATGGGTTCGTGCCTCGGTCCGGGAAGATCCCACATGCTACGGAGCAGCTGGGCCCGTGAGCCACGGCTGCTGAGCCTGCGCGTCTGGAGCCTGTGCTCCACCGCGGGAGGGGCCGCGACGGTGAGAGGCCCGCGTACCGCAAAAAAAAAATAAAATAAAATAAAAAAGAGGTGATTTTTTTCAACCTCATTTTACAAATGAGGAAAATGCAGATGAGTGAGAAGTTAAGACATTTTCCTAAGGCAAGCAGCAAGTCACCAACCAGAATCTGAACCCAGGTCTTTCTTTAAACTGCATGACTGCCATTATATAATTTCATTGGTTCTTAAGTTTCTTAAAATTTCATTTCTCTGAGTCAATACTAAGAGCCTCACCAATTCTAAAAAGCCTGATTTTCTACATTTACAAGCCTAAAACAGACAGCACCAAAAAAGGCAGCCATGCCGAGACCCTCCATGAACAGTCAACAGACGCCCAACCATCTTTACACCTCACTACCTTTGCAACAACTTTAGAAGCTACGTTAGAAGCTAAATTAAATCCAAAAGTACATGAATATAAATGAGACATTTGATCTTTATGTTGTAAATGGTGAATAAAATCCAAATAATTTTGCATAGATACTTTAATAACACACTGAATTTCTAGATTTCAGGTATAGCTAAAATAACTGATTAGTATGTCATTTTAAAAAGCAATACTTTGGGGGCCTCCCTGGTGGTGCAGTGGTTGAGAGTCCGCCTGCCGATGCAGGGGACACAGGTTCGTGTCGCGGTCTGGGGGGATCCTGCATGCCACAGAGCGGCTGGGCCCGTGAGCCATGGCCGCTGAGCCTGCACATCCGGAGCCTGTGCTCCGCAACGGGAGAGGCCACAACAGTGAGAGGCCCACATACCGCAAAAAAATAAAAACAAAAAAACAATACTTTGGTCTCAGACACGAGGAGCAAATGATTACCCTGAATCTGTGAATATATAATTTGTAAACACTACAGAATAACCCATATCATAATTAACACTTTCTCTACAAAAATGGAAAGAAACTGAAAAAAACTATGAACTACAGCAGAAAATACAGTAGGAATTTAACTTACAAGAGAGACAGACATCCAGTGGGGAAATCATTCTCAGGCACACACAGAACAAACCTGTGCGCCAACAGCCTCCCTTCTCCCATTACCAAAACATTTCAAAAGCTTCAGGAACCCCAAGACCAGAGTTTGAGACACTACAGTATTTAACTGAAAAATACCTTTACATATGGTCCTAGTCTCATTACATATTTTGTAGGACAAAAATGGCTTTCAAAATAAAGTACTTCTTTCTTAAAATTTAGATCACTTTTTTATTGATTGTTTAAAAAAAAATCAAAGGGACTAAAATATGTCAAAGCTGTTGACTGCGGAGGGGGGCGGGGGGGGGGGGAAGCACACAATGAAGATTAAACTACAAAGAAATGCTCAGAGTTGCTACCTGCAGGAATTTTTTTCCATATCTATCACTTTGCACTTCTTTCTTTAGCAAACTTTTTTTTCCACACATACCTAATACTATAAATATATAATAAATACTCAGAATTTTAAAAACTGTAAATACAACCCAGTTGTTTTAGAGAGGAGGGAAAAAGAAGTCCTCCAAAATACCAGTGAAGTATAAATTTCCTCATATCCAAACCTTCAAACCGCCATGGAAAACTGAAGATGGTAAAACACTGCTCCAATTGTCCACTGAAGCCTATGTGCAAAGACTTCTATTTCAACATTTTGACTAACTAATAAACATATGTTGCATCCTAAAAAATATATACTAAAACCAAGAACCACCCAAAAACCTACTCCCATCTAAACTAAGAGGAAGATAAATGGGAAACCAAAAAGCTACAGGTAACATAAAGTACTTTTCCTCATATCATGGAAAACAAAAGACTCAAAACACATTTTAATTTTCCAAGAAAAAGACAATTAACTTACTAGCATGCTTGTCTGCAAGCATTATAAGCGTGTTGGAAATATCTCGTCGTCTATAAAAGCACACTACTTTTGCTTCCACGTTGCCAGTTGCAGTCTAAGAAATAAGAAAAGTAAAAGTCATCTATACTGAATATTAGATTCAAGTAGTTTATAAAACAAAACTAGAGACAGCATAATTGTAAGATCACTGTCATTTATTGTGCCAACCACAACTGCAGGATAATCAGAGAGCTTAAAAATTCAAATAAGGACAAGTAACATTTGTAAAAGTTCCAAGTGAAACAAATGTCAAACATAAAATAACTCATTGGCATCAATTAAAAATTAAACTAAAGTGATCAGAGAGCTTTAATGACTAAAACCATAGTTAACTCTGATTAACCTTAAGAAACTAATCCCCAAAATTTTAAAAGCCACAACATAACCTAAAAGTAGTCCTCCAAACCCTCTTCCTGAGGCACAGGCTAAGTGCAAAATCACCCAGCCCCATCCTAAACACCCTCACATTCGACTGATGGTGAAGCTCTGCAGGTGCAGGGCAGTCAACATGTGAGGTGGACCAGATAACCTGGAAATGCATTCTCAGCCCAAGGGAGTCCATGAATCCATAACGGTCAACATTCCTAGTAGTACTTACTTTACCTTCACATATGAAAGTATTAAAAACCTTGAGTTATGAACACTGAAGCTCTTATTTCTTTTTGACTACAGTCTAGAATACAATCAATATTCAGTTAGGCTGTAATTTACTGCAGCTGGGGCCCAGGCTCCTACCCTCCTATTCTTTATGAATTCTGAGAGCTTTCAAGGTCAATTGTTCACTACAGAGTTCATTGTAAAAACACACAGATTACAATAAAATGCTATTGTGATTTCCAATTTCAAACAAATTTGAGAACAAATTTTCAGAATTTCTCTGGGCTTACAGATACACTCAAAGAAAAAGAAATGAGTATATGTGCTGCAGTAAAGTTGTCAGTTTTATGAAGTTCAGTGGCAGTATTTTAAAGTGAGAAATAGTCTTGTAGAAATATTGCCCTTTAAAACTGAAATCGTATTACATCCTAACCAAAGTGCTTCTGTATTTCACAACATTGTGATCAAATACATCCTCCAGAAGTAATGATCCAGCAATCTGCTAAATGAACAGTCCGATATTCCTATGTAAATAAAATCTATCGATGACTTCAATTATCAGTGCTTTATCATTTTTGTCTTCTTGAGACAAAAGCATGTTAATGGACGACTAATAAGAAAATAAATAAATAAACATTAAAATAAATAAATAAAAGCATGTTAAAAACCCAAAGCAAGAGTTTTAAGGCATGCGTGTTTTTTTTCCTACCTTACTGGTGAGTTCCTCCAATAGGGATACTCTGTAAAGCTAACTAAATTCTTATTTAAACCTGCTTGGGGTGGAGGGGCATAGTTCAAAATAAATATTCTCTTCTGAAGCACGTACACACGTGGCTATCAGGCAGTTTACAGTATTACTCTTCTTCTCTACTGTATACACACACACCCTCCCTTCGAACATTCCTCTAAAGTTGAGCTACTAAAATTGTGGTCCAAGGCCCAGTCCACAGCTGTTACTATGTAATGAAATGAGTACAGAAGTTAAATGAATTATAGTATTTGAGAGTTAATTTTATATCTATTGAATCTAATAATGAAAAATGGGGCTTGCCTTTTTATAAGCCTACTTTAAATTTCATTTTTCTACTCTCATTTTTAAATTTTACAAAAGCAGTCTAAGATACTGAAAATTCTTAAAAATCCTCCACCACAAATAATTTGAGAAGTATAGCTCTGAAGACCTAAGTTAAATATTTTGTATATATAAAGTCACCAAATTTCCTGTGTGCGCTTCCTATGTGCCCCTGCACAAGCTAAGCACCACGGATGCATGGTGTCTGCCCTCGCCAAGCCTCTGCTCCACCAAAGATGCCTGTCCACGTGTCATCTCGTCTCCAACCTTCCAAAGCCCAGCTGTAATCATGTCCCTCACCCAGAAACCTTCACCGGTTCCCCACAACTGAAGCGTAAGAGTAAAACATTCCTGACAAATTCCCAGCACTATTGTCTTTACTCCTTTCTTTTCCCCTCCAGACTTCACTTCTCACTCATGGAGGCAGGAAGTACCACCTGTTGAGGGAAGAACAGAAAAAGCTTCAAGGAGGGGGAAAGGGAGCAGAAGGTCCCTAGCTAGCTAGGAAAGAAGGAAAGGAGTCCAACAGGTGAAGCCTGGAGGACTGAGTAGTCTTAAGAAAAAAGAAGGACCTGAACAAAACCCACAGGTGGGAAAAGTGGAGACAGGTACAAAGAAGAACCTACAATGAACAGCAATTTCTTTCCCGTGTTCTTTTCTCCATTTACGTTGCAGCCCCTTAAATCTCTATTCTGTCGAACACGTTTAGTAAAACATCCTTCAGCAATAAGGGGCTTTTAGTCAACCTCATACTCACGCTCATTTCTATCCCAGACTTAGAAAGTACATTATTAAAAAACAAAAAACCAAACGCTTTCCATTTTGGCAAGTCTATGGTCTGCTCGAACTAAAGAACAGATGGAAAAGAACCTCCTTTTCCCAATTTCTGTCCTTCTTCCCACGAGATCCTAAACGTCAGGAGGGGTCTTAACTTGGGTTCTACAAAAGGGCTTTGAAGGGATCTCCAGAAATTATATGCAAAATCTTGTATGTGCAAATATAGATTGGGGTGGGGGACAAGATTAGATGCTCAAAGAAGTTAGTGGCTCCCTTCTCCCCACCAAAAAAAAGACCCTAAACATTAAAATGAATCTCAGAGCAAATTGGATGGCTAATAAAACACACAGAATATGAAGAAACATATAAATTATACAACATAACACACCAAAAAAAAAAATCAATAGCAAATAGCATTAAATTTATCCATAAGCATAACTTCCAAAACTTCCTGGGACTGTATCCTCATTATGTGCACAAAGCCTTCTTCCAACATGTGTGCAGACTAAATCTTTAGAAGAGCAACACCCAAGCTAGATAGTGACTAAATAAAATTTACCGTGAAGTTGTTTTCTATTTTTTTTTTTGTTTTCTATTTTAACTTTATATTCTTCCTCCAAAAGATCATCATCACTGTATCTGAGTACAGTTTAGAGGAGAGGAAAAGAGGGTATGTAAGATAAACAATGTTGGCGAGAAGCGGCTGCAGCTCCGGGCAGAGGGGGCAGGAACCCGAAGGTGAGCAGGGGCCGGGTGGGTGGGCACCACGGCCGGGGCCACCACCACGGAGGCGGTGAAGCGCTGAGACCCAGGTTCTGCAGCTGCAGGCCAGTGACGCGGAGGAGAGGGCCGAGCGCACCCCGCGGAAGTGGAGGGAGAAAGGCGGCCCGGGAACAGGCTCAAGCTGAGGCGGCCTCCTTGAACCGCAGGATCCAGCGGGTTGAAAAGGAGCTGGACAGTGCCCAAGAGCACCTGGCCACTGCCCTGCAAAAGCTAGAGGAAGCTGAGAAAGCTGCTGATGACAGCGAGAGAGGTCTGAAAGTTAATGAAAACCTATCCTTAAAAGAGGAAGAAAAAATGGGGCTCCAGGAAATCCAACTCAAAGAAGCTAAGCACACTGCAGAAGAGGCAGGTAGGAAGTACGAAGAGGTGGCTCTTAGGTTGGTGATTATTGAGGGAGACTTGGAAGGCACAGAGGAGCGAGTTGAGCTGGCAGAGTCCCGTTGCCGAGAGACCGATGAGCAGGTCAGACTGATGGACCAGAAGCTGAAGTGTCTGAGTGCTGCTGAAGAAAAGTACTCTCAAAAAGAAGACAGGTATGAGGAAGAGAGAAAGATTCTTACTGATAAACTCAAGGAGACAGAGACCCGTGCTGAGTTTGCTGAGAGATCGGCAGCCAAGCTAGAAAAGACAACTGATGATTTGGAAGATAAACTGAAATGCACCAAAGAGGAGCACCTCTGTACACAAAGGATGCTAGACCAGACTCTGCTTGACCTGGATGAGATGCAGGGCGCCCCAGTCCCGCCCGGCACTGCCCCTCCCTCTGACCCCTACTCTGCTGAGGCCTGCCTGCCTGAAGCTGACCTTTAAACTGACGGCTGATCTTTAACTGGAAGGCTGCTTTCTCCTTTCGCCACATCTCCCACCCCCACCCCTGTGTCCTTTTCGCCAAACTGTCTCTGCCTCTCCCCAGAGATTCCATTTGGGCTAGAGGCTGAGCATCTTTGGGAACAACGTTTAAGGGAATGTGAGCACAATGTTAAGTGTTTTTAAAAGCATGCTGTGATGTACACATTTTGTAATTACCTTTTTTTGTTGCTGTTGATGTAGCAGCCATTTGTAAAACATTCCAGATAATTCCATAGTTCTGAAGCAGCAGTCTAATCCCTTTCTCACTTTTGGAAGGTAACTTTTCAGCTTAATGCATATTGCCCTCTCTGTAGAGGAGGGGAAAAGGTATGGGCCTGCCTTCCTGAGAGCCAAACAGCCCAGAGAAGGACTCCATTTTGGGAAGCCTTATTGCTTTGCAAAAAGTACCTGCCAAACCAGAAAGGTGATTCCAGAAGGAGTTAACCAAAAAAAAAAAAAAAAAGCGCTGTTCAGGTTTTCAGCTTTACGGTATCTTTGGGCAACTTTTTTTTTCCATCAGAAGTGACCAGATGAGATTAAGATGGTGAGACCTCTGAGACCAAATCCTTGTCCCAGCTCTACCCCATTCCCAATCACTCACAGAATGGATCATGTGCCCCTTATTTTGAGGTGACCACTTATTTGCTCTCCTGCCTCCTTGAAAGAGAGGAAAGAAAATTATGTTCTACCACTGATTTAGCCATATGAAACTCATCTCATCACCCTTTTCTGGGTCTGAAGCGGCTGTCTCTAAAACTGCCATCTCATTGTGTGTTGTAGCAGTTAGTGCTGGAGAAATCTTGAATAGCTTATGTACAAAATTGTTTTTAAATTTTATATTATTTTGAAACTTTGCTTCTTTGGGGTTGGGGCACACTGGTCACCCCATCTGGCTGTGCGAGCCCTCTACAGTCTGGGCTGGCAGGGTGCTGATCTTTTAAAGTTTCTTTCCCCCTATCCAATCTCCCCTTTTTGGTGAGGGTTCAGTGAGGTCAGTTAGGTGTGCATGCTACAGCTTAACTGGCTTAAAATGTACTCCCCTTTGGTGTGGTCTCTTTGGGGGTCAACTGGGGAAAGAAAAAAAATAGTGTAACTGTTTTGATACTGAACATTGACAAATGTCTTTTTGAAATAAAGAACCAGTCCCTCCAAAAAAAAAAAAAAAAAGATAAAACAATGTCGAACTGTGTTTATCAACCAATATATTCAGTTTTTCACCTAAAAGTTCTGGGGAAAAAAAATTGAGACAAAAATCTATTTCATGACTTCCCTAGTGGTCCAATGGTTAAGAATCTGCCTTCCAATGCAGGGGATGTGGGTTCGATCCCCGGTCAGGGAACTAAGATCCCACACGCCACAGAACAACTAACCCTGCACACTCTAGAGCCTGCGTGCCGCACTACTGAGCCTGTGCAGCACAAATAGAGAGCCCGCTCGCTGCAACTACTGAACCCATGCGCACCAGAGCCCACTCGCTGCACTAAAAGATCCCACATGCCGCAACAAAGATCCCACATGCCACAACTAAGACCCGATGCAGCCAAATAAATAAATAAATAAATATTTTTAAATCTATTTCTTTAATTAAAAAAAAAAGAAAAAATACTGTAGTTTTGCTTTCTGCAAGTAACATTTCAAATAGGATTTAAAAAAAAAAACATGGACCTTCATCCTATAAAAGTGAATTTTCTATAAAAATAATGATTGATAGCTTATCCTAGGAATTTTGTTAAAAAAAACACATCCTATTTCTTTTTTTCTTTTTCGGCCTCGCTATGAGGCTTGCAGGATCTTAAGTTCCCTGACCAAGCATTGCCCCTGGGCCCCAGCAGTGAAAGCAGCCAGTTCTAACCACTGGACCACTAGGCAATCCCAAAACACATCCTACGTATTTAGAAGAAAGTTAATAAAATAGGTTAATATCCCTTCTCTTAGCTTATCAATTAGAATATATCAAGTGTTGGGACTTCCCTGGTGGTGCAGTGGTTGGGAATCCGCCTGCCAGTGCAGGGGACACGGGTTTGAGCCCTGGACCAGGAAGATCCCACATGCTGTGGAGCAGCTAAGCCCATATGCCACAACTACTGAGCCTGCGCTCTAGAACCAGAGAGCCACAACTACTGAGCCCGTGTGCCCCAACTACTGAAGCCCGCGTGCCTAGAGCCCGTGCTCCACAACAGGAGAGGCCACCGCAATGAGAAGCCCACGCACCGCAGCGAAGGGTAGCCCCTCGTTCACCACTAGAGTAAGCCTGCATGCAGCAGCAAAGACCCAATGCAGCCAAAAATTAATTAATTAATTTTAAAAAATAATAATATATCAAGTATTCTTAAATTCATTATTTGGATGTTCTAATCATGTTAAATTTCCCCACTTAGACAACTTGACCTCTGACCCGCTCAAGGCCTTTCTGGAACTCCTGTGGCCCCTCTTCCTGAGGCTACCTCCTTCTCATCCTTTAGGCCTCAACTTCAATGTCCTTAAAGTCCTTCACTCCCTATCCAAAGGAAGCAACCTCTGTTATTCTCTATGTCAAGGATCAAGGCTCTTGCTTATTTCCTTTCTAGAAGTTAACACCATTTATTGCTATTTTCTTTACACCTGTTAACTCATCTTCTCATGTGTCTCCCTCATGAGAACGGAGACCCTGTGTGGGCAGAGACCATGTCCATATTGGTCACTGTTGTACCTGAGCCTAGCATAGTGCCTGCTACATAACAAGTGCTCGAGAAATATTTGTTTAATTACTTAAAATGAGATCTCTCACATCCCTTTAGAAATAAAGGTCCTATGTAAATATTTAGTAATTAATTAGCCTATTGCAGTTCCTTTTTATCAATACTCCATCCAAACTGCCACTGTCTGAAATTACACAGACTCTGAACTCTCACAGTTCAGTCACCCTCAGTCCCCTAAGGAATGCTCGTATATTAACCACTCTTTGAGAAAGCAGAGGCGTAGGGAGAAGGTGAGAATGTGGGGGAGGGGAGGGACTTTTGAAGTGAAGAGTAATATAATGATAAAGAAGTGTGAAATGATCCAGGTTCCAGCAAGATGTGTAACCCAGGCATTTAAGTTACTTAACCAGAGTGTGCTTCACAACAACAATCCATGATGCATCTACCTTAAAGGTTTAAGGTACTGTGAGGCTCAAAAGAGGTGAGAAATGTGAATCCCCAGATTATATGCTTCCAGAGCACCATGCTCTGATGTTTGTAAATTTAGCACAGATGCAATTTTCCTTCTGCTCGTAGATTTAGCTGATGTCCATCTCCACTACTAGACCTATCTTGTTCATCTTTCAATTCCTAAAAGTGCATATCTAAAAGCAGTAGGTCCCCAGAAATATTTGTAAAATGAATGAATCAAAGGACTTTGTAAACAGTAAAGCCATGTACAAGTATTAACATCAGACATCTGAGAAATTCATTAATTCAAAAAATGTTTACTTAACTATGTGCCAGCCACTACTCTAAGGCACTTCGGATGCATTAGTGAACAGAAAAGATCACTACACACATAGAGCTTACATTCTAGTTTGGGAAAACAGGCACTGAAAATATAAGCACAACTCATTTTATTGCACTTCGGTTCACTGCACTTCTCAGATATTGTGTTTTTTTTTTACAAATCAATGGTTTATGGCAACACTCGGTGGAGCAAGTCTACGCCATTTTTCCAGTAGCATTTACTTACTTTGTGTCTGTCACATTTTGGTAAATCTTGTGGTATTTCAAACTTTTTCATTATTATGGTATTTGTTATGGCAACCTATGATCAGTGATCTTTAATATAATTTTATGAAGGCTCACTGAAGGCTCAGACGATAGCTAGCAATTTTTAGCAATGAGGTATTTTTCAATTAGGCATGTACATATTTTTTTAGACATAATGTACACTTAATAGACTACAGTATGGTATAAACACAACTTTTATATGCACTGGGAAACTAAAAAATTCATGTGACTCATTTTACTGCAATATCTGCTTCATTGCAGTGGTCTGAACTGAACCCACAATATCTGAGGTATGCCTGTAAATACATTAATTAAGTATATTTGAAGGTGATAAATGATGTGGGGGAAAAAAGCAAGGTATGGGGGGCTGGAAACAACCAGACAGTCCTAAGGTGGGTGCATATGAGAAACAGCCAAGAGGGTCCAGTGGTTAGGACTTGGTGCTTCACTGCCATGGCCCTGGGTTCAATCCCTGGTCAGGGAACTAAGATCCTGCAAGACAGGTGGCGCAGCCAAAAATAAAAAAAGAGAAACAGGCAAGAAAGAGCTTACTGAACTTAGAGCCGAATGAACAAAGCAGGGAGCAGCCAGAGAATACAGGTCTCATAGGGCAATATTTCTCCTTGAATCCTAGTTAACTTTCCAAATAAGCTGATGCAGTGAACAGTGTGGAATTGCCTAAATTCTTTTTTTAAGCCTTTTATTTATTTATTTATTTATTTATTTGGCCATGCCGAGCATGGCTTGCAGGATCTTACTTCCCCAACTAGGGATGGAACCTGGGCCCCAACAGTGAAAGCACCGAGTCCTAACCACTGGACCACCAGGGAATTCCCTGGAATTGCCTAAATTCTTATACCTTACATCAATAATATAAAAGAGAAGCACACCAGGAAGACATCTCAACAGTTCCCACCCACAGACTGACCTAATCCTGAGGCCATTTTCTTCATTTGGTGGTGGTCTCAAATACTATGGAAATTTTTTAAATGCAAGGTCCCCAGCGTATCCCCAAAAGTGAACCAAGACCTCAACGCTCATAAACCAGGCATGCCCTTGGCCAATCTGGTTTCCTGGGACTCAGAACAGGACCAGTCTCCAGATGGTATTTTGGGGGAAATGTATTAGCTAGACAGCCCCCAAAATTTTAACAACGTGAATTCTCACCAGCTACACAAGTAACCCTCAACCATCAGAAATCTATGGTCCATGTTATTTATGATTGTTTGAGTGCCTCCACTGTAAAAGCTCAGCTACTGCCAACAGTCATGCTTCTGATATCCTGGACACCTGCGATTAGGGACAAACCTTGATGTAAAAGTTTTATTTACTTGGGCCTAAGGTACAAAAAGTCACTTTATAATTATACCAAAACTGTATTCTTATTAGTTAGCCTAGTCTAGAATTTTACAAATTCCCTTAAATATCATATTCCCTAACCTCCTCCTTCTCAAGCTGAAAGAGGAAAAAATTAATTTAAAATTAATTTTTTAAAATTTTAAAAATTTAATTAAATTTAATTAATTAAAAAATAACTAAAAAAGGGAGAAACACAAATTATGACTTCAAATATAAAAAGGGATTGAGTTACAGGAGTGACCTGCTCTGAGAAGCTCAAAGCAATTCGAAGAATTCTTACAGATGTTACACATTCAATATCAACATTTAATATCAGAGGTAATTATAAAAAGCAAAAGAATGTTCAGAATCCTGCATAATTCTCTACTCTGAAATCTCTATTTTCAGAGTCTGGAACTTAAAGTAAAATCACCTCTTATGCCCTTTACCCAATTACCCTTCAATGGGCAACAAATATTTCTTAATATTAGAATCAAGAACACTCAGTGTATATATACCTTGTTGAGTTCTTCTATCCTTCTGATGAGGTACGGATTGCTAGAGGAATTCTCAAAGTAGACATAATCTGTAATTAAAGGACGTAAAGAGCTTAATCTTTTCAACAGAAAGTTTACATTTGTCAATTTATGACTTTTTATGTTAGGTAATTCACATTAAAATGAAGCACGCCCGTGATTCATTTCCTGGTAAAAGCAAACTGGGTAATGCAGCCTCAATATAGTCTCTTTCTTATGTGCTTACCATTCACAGACCCTTATTTTCCTGGCATTTTCATTTCAATTAATGTTTTATTCAAGTTCTCCTAGACTTCTGTCCCACATGTGTCATTTCTTTAATAATAAACAAAAAGACACCTCTTATCACTGAGTAGTCAGAGCTAACTAAACATGTGTCTTTCATACGATAACTGCTTCCCCATCTTTTCACTCCAATCCAATTTGCCCTGGAGTAGGCTTCTCACATAAAACTATTGACCTAAGACAAATTCAGAGCATCTTGAAAGGCTTAGCAGCCCAAAGTACATTTCAATCACCAACTTAAAAAAAAAACCAGGTGAGCAGAGCAGAAGCACATTGACAAACTTTTTCACAGCTCTATCTAGGAAGATGAGGGGGCGAAAAAGGAGAGGGGTCACTTTTTTGAGAGGCAGAGCTCTGTGGAGGTGATACCAGCCTTTTTAATACCATATTTAATCCAGATCCATTTTGGGTCTCGTTATAAAGCAATTGCTGCAGCCTTTCAACAAAAAGGATAGAAATTTTCAAGTGTGGTTTTTCCTCTCATCTAATAGGCTCACTGGAAACTTCCCACTGTGTGTTTATTTGAGAGGCTGGGCTGCAGTGTTATTGTCTATCTTAGTGGCTCTTTCCCGTCTCCCTTCTGCAAAGTGGCCTCATTTAGCCAGGCCATTCCCACCACCATCCATCAAGGAGCTCGGCTAATGAGCAGAGAAGAGCCAGTCTTACACACAAACACGTCACTTATCTGAATTATTATTTTACCAGGAAAAGAGGGAGGAGGGCGTCTTGAGTAGGGAGAAAGTTTGTTTGACCTTATTTCTCTCTTCTGCAGAAGGCTGGGAAGGAGGCAGACAGCAGAGCAAACGTCCAGGCAGAGCTCCACTCCCCACCCCAGGCTGCGGTGCCCCGGCCCCTCTAAGCCCCAGTCCTGGGG